TGAAATTATATAGAATAAACCTTTACCATCAGCATTTTGTTGAACTATAGTTGAACCTTGTTCATAGAACTGTAGTTCAATACCCTGGGCAAATTCCTTTTTAACACGATCAAAGTTAATGGTAACAGGTGCTTCTTCAGAATAAACCTTCTTCTTTTTTGGTTTCTGTCTATGAGACGTTATGGCATAGTCGCTAGGTAATATTCTAATCATAGAGTTAGCTTCAGAAGAAGATGCCAAAGATGAAGTTAAGGAAGTATCAGAAGATCTAGTCAAACTTCTAGTCAAACTTTCCTTCCTCATTTCCCGAGTTTGATTTTGTAAGGATAAATTTTCCTTCTTGATATCTAAAATGTTGAATATTGCTTCAATTAAGCCAAGTCGTAATGCAGACTCTTCCGTTTCTTCTTGACTTGAGGAAAAAGACCTTCCCTTTACATCTTCATTTTCAGATGCTCTTGTGACAAGGGATCTGAATGAATGGGATGAAGTCGTATCACTTGTCATTTTGCAGACATCAGGATAATTAACCAGCGTTGATAACCTCGTTGGGGAAGTAGAATTAAATAGTTGTTGGTTTTGGTTAACTGTTTTTCCAGATGATAATTCTCTTCTTGATAATGGGACACTTGACAATAGGTCACCAGGATTATATTGATCCCTTGAAGCAATCACTACATGTCTAGATGCACCGGAAACAGTTGTTATTGAATTTGATGAAGATCTATTTCTCAATAATGGTGATTTTTCGGAACTAACTGAGGTACTCGATAAGTTGATTTTTGATGATCTTGACCTTTTAACGCCTGAAGTTTCAAATAAACTATCTGAATCATAGTTTGATTTAGTACTATTTTTATAGGCTGAAATAACAGCCTCCTTCAAATAAGAAGGTAATTCATAATTGATATTTCTGTTCAATAACAATTCTATCTCCATAATTTCGGATGTTAGCCCTAAATATCTATGAGCTGTTTGAAATGTGACCCTAAGTAATCTTGTCAGTACCATTTGAATGATGTGGGATGCAGAACGAGGATACTTTTCAACCAACTTTGCAAATGACTGAGGTGGTATAATGGCAATAGTACAATTTGTTGCCGCTCTGGCAACAACGTTTGGCACTGGGTATAACATTGGATCATGGTCAGTTTTTAATTCTAAAGGTGACATCGAATCATGTCTCGATAATATATTGAATTGGTTGTTAGGATTTGGTGAATTAGTGTTGAAAGTTTTCCTTTTAGAAGTGAATAGATTTAAGATATTTACCAATGATGACACAGGGTTACCAGGTTTTACGGTGTTAAGTAATTGGAACTTACCTGGAGAATTTTTTAATTTCAGATACATATTTGAATCTTCGGCATCTTCATCTGAATAATCATCATCTATTATTTCACTATCTGAGCTTATTGTCAATTCTTCATTCCTTAAGTTGAAAGTGTTCTCATTTTCACTTTCAATTTCAGTGCCAAGGGTTTGTGTTCTAACGATTTCATTGGTATCATGGAACTGAGGCTGTAATAAGCTGCTTGAGGTTGAATTATCATTAACGTTGTGGTAAATTTGAAGGGTTCCTTCGACAACAATGGCCAAACCCACAGAATCTTCTAATAATAAAATTTCACCTTCATTTAGCTTCTGTGTTTTCATATTTTTAGTTAAATCGTGAAACACAGGTTTTTCTAGATACCCAAATATCTTAAGGGCACTTAAGAATTGATCCAAGTATGAAGATAGAAACCTTGATTCATTGTTATCATTGGGGCCACTTGATTTTGAGTTACGTTCATTATCTGAAGAATCTACAAATGAGTTTTTGTTTGTAGTGGGAGGTACTTCAGGGGTCAATTTCTTGTATTCTGATAATATTCTTATTTTCACAAAATAATGAGTAAAATAAACTACAGCAATTCCTAAAAATACAAATGCTGTGAACGGTATAGTTAATTTAACTGCATTTGCTGTGTTAAACACCCAAGTGGGTATGCGTAACAGTATAAATGATAGAATATACCAAACTTTTAAAAACATAAGATTGGTATTTGAAACGATATTTTAATTTTTTAAACTTTTTTTTGTTCTCTGTTTAGCTTCTTTCCTTGTAAACTTTTTTGAAGAATCAGAATATGCTAACAAATCAGTAATGTTCTATCCGATCAATCACACTCGACTATCTTATATACAATTTTAAAAAATTATGTAACTGGTGAATACTCCTTAAATGAAATATTCCTTTCATACATATGAAGTATTTCTTAAAATCGTGAATTTAAATTAAATGATGACCCTTATTTGATAAGATGAAGAGACAGACAAACTATAGCAAACAAACAAACAAACTCCATATAGATTTTTTCTTTATGGGCATATATATTATTTACCTTTATTTTTTATTTTTTATTTTTAGGTTGTTTAAAAAATTAGTAATAGTCAAATGGTAAAGTTAATAACCTTTCGAGCGTGCCTAGCAACAAGAACCTCTAATACAGATAACATAGATACGTTTTCTTTCCTTCCTATCAGTTCTTTAAATTTATACAACGAAGTCGCAAAAATATCTATATTTCGATAGAATAGAATGGGGATAGAGAAAGATTAGTTTAAAGGTCAGAGTACGTGAGTGATAGATTCTGTTTTCAATTCTTGAGTCATGCACGCTATCTTCTTGTGGACGGACCCGTATAGATAAGCATACAAGGGCAATCATCCAAGAAAAAGGTCAAGTGCGAGGGAGACCCCAACAAGTCTACTGGTCTATGTCTGCGTGTGTGTGTTTTTAATTCTTGTTTAATTGGTTAGCTTGGAAGAAATGGTAGAATGTAGGTAGTATAAGCAGATATAAAGCAGTGTCATTAAATAATACTTCAGTATCACAATTACATAAAATGGATGAGATAATGGTACACTCACAAGATGATTAGCCATAGAAGGCAGAGAGTCACTGCAGAGAGAATAGGAAAACGAAAACGAAAACGAAAATAAACAAAGAAAGTGAATATCAGTATTCGATGAGAGGAAAAAACCTTTAAGTTCCTCGAATTTTAATAAATTTGACCTTTGACAGATCTCGGTTGGTGGTGGTGGTGAACTTATTGTGGACAGATGATTATATTATGATATGACATGATATGACATGATATGATATTATGATATGTATTAAAAATGTGTGTCGTATAACGGTACTTTGTTTTGTCTTGTCTTGTCTTGTCTTATCTTGTTTGCTGTCGTTGTTACAGTTGGCGAGAGAAACAGAGTGGGAACAGCAAACAAGAAAAAAAAGGCGGTGGTGTAAGGAGAAGTGCGTGCAGGAATGGTCTACTAGTCGTAGTAACCTTGTTGTTTCCGTGGAGGTTTCTCGTTTATTTCCAGTCGATTTCCGGTAGGAGGAGGAGGAAGGTAATAAGAGAGAGAGAGAGAGGTTGATTGATTTTGATCAGCAAACTAAGTCGGCGACTACAGTCGCAGTCGTATGAAATGTTGGCGGCTAACTTTTTCATGTGATTTTTTTTGTGTATTCAACTAATTAATGCAATTTGGAGAAAGGGGAAGGGAAAGGTGTCTCCCCACGTGTACATGTGGTTTTGTGTCATCGTGTGTGTATGTTTTTAAATTTAGGGGAAGAAGAGAAATGAGATTCGAAAAATAAATAAAAAAAAATAAAATAGAGTTTGAAATTTGGCAAATATATAAAAGGAAGAAATAGTTTAGTATTCTCCCACTTTTCATTTTTATTCCCTATTGCATATGAGTGGGATTGGATTTTTTGTTGCTCTAGCATTAAAACTATAGCCACTCAAGAATGCACTGACACCATTAGTATCTCAACATCACGCACATGTATTGTATTACTAGCCAAGGTGTTGTTTGTGTCGCAGCGGCTAACAACGGATAATAGTCTGCTATATATATACACTTTGGGTTCATACAGGAACTCCATTTATCACCAATGTCCGTATTAAATAACTGTGATCATTTCTCTCTATAATATATATATATATACTGGTGCTAGCGCCTGCCGTTGCACTGAGTTTCTTTATACGTACGTAATCATTTTTAAAAATTTCGAATTCGAGTTTTTATCGTTGCTGGTGGCTTCTTCCTCATTTTACGTTACTTTTGATCCTTCTCCCTCTCGGTTGATTTGAGTGATTTGAAATATATATATCATCAATTTCTAGTTCTAATAAGAAAAGGAAAAACCATTATAAAACAGTTCTAGTCTCTTTTTTCATACAAATTTTCGAATTCTTTAATTTTTTTTTTTTTAAAAAAAAAAGAATAAAATAAAAAAAAGGCTACAGTTATATACTCTATTCCTAATTTCCCTCCCTAAGTTTTAAAAAGGTATTATCGATTTAAAAAAGCTAATTCTACTTCCAATAACAATAATAATCATTATTTTTGCATTGAAATATAGGCAACATTATTAAAATCTGCTAAGATTACGATATCCATCCATATTTATACATTTTTGCTATCTACAATTCCTTCCTTATTCAACTAAAAATTTAAAAAACAAAATTTATCTATATCTAAAAAGCTTTAATATAACATAGTCAAATCTATTCGAAAAGAAGTAGGAAAAGAAAAAAAGAAAAATATTTGATAACCTTTACCTAACCTTACCTTACGTATATCCCTTCTATAGATCATCAACGTTTAAATCGCAAATGGGTAACACAGATTCCAAATTAAACGTCTTATACAGGGATCATGTATTTAGGTTATCTGGATATTTTGATGGAATAATACCTCTATTCTCAAAAAATACAAATTTAAATGAATTGATCGATCTCTATAATTCAAAAGTCATACCAGATGATTCTAAATTTGATCAATTCTATTTAGAATTTGTCGCAGTTGGTACAGATTTAACTTTTGAAATGCTAAATCAGATTATTAATAATGAAGAAATGAGAAATATATTCGAATTAAATCCTATAAATTATTTAAATCTAACAAGGTTCACTGCATTACAAATTCATTTATTAACAAATTCCTTAAACGTCCCTTCATTAGAACTGCTAAAATTTAGATTCTCAAGAATTCTAGTTTGTATTAGAGTATTAACTAAATTGATGCCATTATATTTTGAATTACAATTAAATAATAAAGATGTACCAAATATAGCTGATATATTTTGGACAAATGATCCTAAAGTTCTGTTTGGCATAGATGATGATTCACTGGATCCAGACGTTACCATCGAACCATTAGGCTTGAATTTAGTCAAATCTTGTGTAAATTTATTATTTGTTGAAGCTTTTACAATACCTTCAAATGGTTCTCCAGGTCTGGTTTCAGATCTTCTATGGGATAATGGTATAAATACTCAAGATGCAGTTTATCACCCACAAAACCCGAAGTATGATTCAAATAGACTGGAAATTATAAATTTATTGCTATCATTATCCTCGAAAGATTTATATCTAAAACAGGCTTCAAAAGTTCAAAATTTGTTCCTTTTCTCATTATCATATTTAGTGCCAGAATATGATTCGATTTGCTTAATTTCATCTTTAATTAATGTGGTATGTCGGCATTGTACAAATTTTAAAAATGAATCAACTCTGCCTTATACAATGGTTTCAAGTAAATATTCGCAGCAACATCAGTTACCACAACTGAGATCAGCATTCATCATATCATCCCTGCAATTATTAAACATAATGTGCTCAAAATTTTGGTTAGATAATGAAAAATTAATTGTTGAAAATCTGGAAAAGCTAGGAGTGTTGAATCGCCAAGACATTCAACATCATGGTAAAACTATTGCATTATCATATGTATCTACATTAAACAGAGAATTGGATTTGAAACTTATGTTGACCTCCTTTGCAAAAATTTTTAAACATCCAGTGGAAGTGGCAATAGAACAAGAGACCTCGCCATTTGGTTCTTTCCCATCTATGAAACAAAATCAAAATTATTCGCATAATCGTGTAAATAGCAACAGTAGTAATAATTATGAAAATGATTCACAACAGCCAAATACTCCAAATCAAAATTTATCGAATTTGAAGAATAAGCCATACAATAATATTGGTAATAATACAAAAACTGATAACACGAAAAAAACAAATACTAATGACACTAATGAAAATAATAGTACAGGCTCTTCTTTATCATTACCTGTACCTCCAACTATACTTCCACAAGTATTAATTTTATTTACAACAATAATTACTGAAAATAAATCGTTTGAAAATTATGTTGCAGATAAATTTGCAAATAAATTTATCATTTTTTCAATTTATTACATGCATTATTATAATCATATCCCAGAGTTACAATCTTCAATGATCCCACTTTGCTCAAACCTGTCATTATACTTATCGTCCAAAAAATTAGTACTTTCTAAGATGCTGGATACCTTTACGACTAACTATTATACAAATAAGTTACCTGATTTCTTTAAGTTATCCTCTGGTAACATCAATAATTTGACTTATAGAGATTTTTCAGTCGTTCACATCTGTAACATTATTATTAATGATGTGAAGGAAAATGTTCAGCCAAGGCCATGGTTATATGAATTGCTGTATAATTTGATTCAGATTCCTTCAAACATAAAAGATGAAGAACTAATTAAATTGTCAGGAAATAGAAACGAATCACCATCTGCGACCTCTAATGGGGGTTTAAATTATAATGCTTCAATCACACTATTACATCTAATTTCAAAATTATCTAATAAGATGTATTTGACATCAAATTCTATCCCTAATAGTGCACAAAGTAATAATTTTTATGCATGCTCACCAGGATACAAATTGGATTTGTTATCCTTGGTATTAAGAAGTATGCTGAATTATATTGTGTACTACTATGAAGAATCATTAAATTTACTCTTTGCGCTAACAAGGCATCAAAAGGTTTTGTTACAGGTTAGAGAGTCGCTATTGACTATCTCTAAATCAATAGATAGTAAATCATCTATGGAGGGAGTGAACAAGGTACAAGAAACTGAATATTATGATTTTCGTGAAAACACCCTATTGTTGCAAAAGTCAAAAAAAATGACTGGAAATAATAATTCGCAAAACAGTAGGAGATGGGCGCCTGATAGTATTAATAATAATAGCTCTAGTGTAGAGGTGTTAAATCAATACATACTGTTGGACAAGAAGTTGAAGTCTACTGAATTAACAGATAATGAATCAAATGATAATGATGAAATATCCGCTCAAACCAATCATGTTCACAAAAATTCTGAGAATAATACAGCAAGAGGTTTGAGAGACTACAGTGATAATAACAATAATCATAGTAATGCTACTCTTCAAAATAATTCTAATAACAATCATTTAGAATTGATGAAAACAAATAGCAATTCAACTGTCATAAATGGAAACAAAGGATATGAGATCCATGAACATATGGATTATGAAGACAATATTTATTTTAATAATAGGAAAATATTTTTAGCCTTCAGACCTGAATGGCCAATTGGGATTGGTGAGAAAATTAAGATTAAATCACCATTAGACCATGATTTAAGCAAGACATGGGGTGGTGCATCTACCTTATCATTGCTGATTAAATTTGTAAGAATTATGATGAAAGAATTTCCAACGATATGCACCATTAACACAGCGGAATACTTTGATCTAGTAAAGGAAATATCTACATTCAAAGAAGGATTCGTAGATGAAGCAAAGCAATTATTGCCTATTTATCTAAAGGATCATAATGAACCACATGTGTTAAAGTTAGACTTGACAAATTCAAATTTCATTTTGAAAAAATGGATGTATGTCATCTGTTGGTCAGATATTTTTGATTCCCACACTGGCTGTTATACGATCTCTGAAAATTCGATGAACGGAATATTCAGTTTCTCTATGGTTAACAACTCAGATGGAGTAGGTAGCGTAGCTAGAGATAGCATCTCTGAGATGTCAGCTCTACCCTCGTTGGAAAGAAAGGTCTCTAATGGAACAATGTTATCAAGAACAAATAGTAACAGTAGTTTTATTACCGGATATTTGTCGAACCAAAACTATGAGCAATCTCAAACTCCATTAGACATTGGAGATATGTATTCTACAAGTCCAAGCTCCAATAATAATTACAGACACAAGCGTACGAATAGTAATAGTGACAATTCCTTTTTCAAATTCTCATGGATGGGTTTCAATAAAAATAACGACTGCAATTCAATCAAGGAAGATGCTTCAGACAATGACTCTGAATACTCTAGTGCGTCAGCAATTAAATCGTGTTCTTTCATCCTAGACGTTGGGCTACTAAAACCGAACATATGGGCAGGTACTAATGTTAAATTATTCAAGGTCGTGAAAGAAGAGAAGAAAGAATTTTCTTTACTTAACATGACATCTTCATTGTTGAAAAGATTTAGATTTAATAATAATAATGCTTCGTCATCAAATGAAAGACTCACTTCTATAAAGACAACAACGGGAAATGGCTCTGGCTTGCATCCAAGCACTAGTAATACAAGTTTGAATTCCTCCCTGAGGGCATGGACGCCAAGATCCCCCTTAGCTAGCAATGGAGGTGGGTCACCTTTCATGTTTTCACCAAAAGGATTATAACCATGTAACACGGAAATAAGCCCTTTATATCAACAAAAGTAATTTCAAAAGAGGATATATAGTTTAATAAAAATTAATTATATAACTTTACTTTAAAAAACGAATCTTATTAATGAAAAGCTTTTATCGATATTAAGGTCTAATTGAGAATTATAATAATGTACATATTTATAAAAGAGAGTAATTGGAAGATAGGGAAGTAAATATCTAATCGTGATATAGTTAGAAAGGAAATGAAGATGAATAAGTGTTTTCGGGCTATTGTCTTCTTCTTCCCTTCTTTTGGACCAGTTCAAAACCATCGTCATCGACAATTGGTTCAGGTGCAGCATTGACAGTTGTTTCTGTATCAATGTCCATTTCAACATCTTCTTCCTCTAAATCGTCTTCATCTTCTTCGGAAGATGAAGTATCTGGATTCAAAGGATCGTTTTCGATGTGGACAATTCTATTCGATGAAGAAGCTTTGGATTTTTGTTTTTGTTCAAATTCAGTATATAAATGCTCAACACCACTATAATCCATAGAATCACATTGTTTGTAGAGATCGATTATTCCTGAGGCAACAGGCAATGCTGAGTCATCTTCGACATTAGTGTCGAATTCATCGACCATAGCATATAATAATATTTCTTCAATATAGGCAACATCGATGATTTTTTCACTCTTAAATGCATCACAGATAACTGCAGTAATCCAATCACGCTTTCCAGCAGAATCAGGGCCACCCCACTTGTTCTCAACAGCTATATCCAATGCATCCCAACGGTAAACCATCATTGAAACACCCAACTCAAATCTAGCCTGCTGCTTCTCATCTTTAAACTGTAAATTGTTACTACCTTGAGCTGCCTCAACAAAAGCAGTCTCGTCAATCTGTAAACTCATCTTTCTCAACAACTAAACCACCTAAAAATTTACTGCAAAATATATTCAACACCTACTAGTCTTGAAAATACTGCTAATGTATAAACTTGAACTTTATCTGGCTTAGATCGTCTCTTGTATCTGCTTGTTTGCTAATAGATGAGATGAGATGAGATGGAATTTTTCATTACTTTTAAAGCTCTTGATGAAAAAAAAAAATTGAACCAATTTGATATTTAACAACAAGTAACAAGAGTTGAATTTAAGAGAGGTATTGTAAAGTTTGAGGCCATCAAGAAAGCAGATTGTATATACAGTTCGATAGTGATTGATTTGTAGTTTTTAATACGTGTATTATTGATTTGCTTTGTACTTTTGAGGACAAATATTGGTTGAATTTCTTCAGGTAACAGGGGAAAGAAAAGACTTTTTAGATTATTAAAGGTAGTGGAGTTTTAAAAACAAATTGAAGATGTCTCAAGATAGTGCTGAAGCTAACAAGAAGTCAGAGCAATGGAATAATGCTTTGAAGATTATTGAGAACAAGGCTGTGGATTCTCCAATGGAATCTCAAAATCGCAGACAGAAATTGTATATGTATACGATGGAAGATGGCAGTAAAATTTCAACTTTGGATAGAGTTGTAAGTTCAGTACCGCCAATTACGAATAAGAAACTTTCTGATGATGAACTGTTCGATAAGGTAACTGGTTTACCTAACCATGAACTTCTAAGAGATCATTTTAAAAAAGAAGGGAGATTAACCGATGCTCAGGCAATGAGAATTATTGATATGGCTGTTCAATGTTTATCTGCTGAACCAAATCTATTACATGTCCCAGCACCTGTCACAGTTTGTGGTGATATCCATGGTCAGTATTATGATTTATTGAAACTATTCGAAGTTGGAGGTGATCCAAAGGATACCCCTTACTTATTCCTAGGTGATTATGTCGATCGTGGTTCCTTTTCTTTTGAATGTTTGATATATTTATACTCTTTAAAATTGAATTTTAATGATCATTTTTGGTTATTAAGAGGTAACCACGAATGTAAACATTTAACCTCATATTTTACTTTTAAAAATGAATGTTTGCATAAATACAATTTAGAAATCTTTGAAGCTTGTTGTAAGTCTTTCAATTGCTTACCGTTAGCTGCATTGATGAATGAACAATATTTCTGTGTCCATGGTGGTATTTCTCCAGAATTACAAACCCTTGAGGATGTAAACAGAATTAACAGATTTAAAGAAATTCCATCGAGGGGTTTAATGTGTGATTTGCTATGGGCTGATCCAACTGAAGATTACGATGATGACTCTCAGGAAAATACTCAAGATATCTATGTCCCTAATAAAGTTAGAGGTTGCTCACATGCTTTCACATACAGAGCCTCATGTGAGTTTTTGAAGAAAACAGGTTTACTTTCTATCATTAGGGCGCATGAAGCTCAAGATGCTGGTTACAGAATGTATAAAGCAACAAAGAGTCTCGGTTTCCCAAGTTTATTAACTCTGTTCAGTGCACCAAACTATTTGGATACTTACAAAAATAAAGCAGCAATTCTAAAATATGAAAATAACGTAATGAATATACGTCAATTCAATATGTCACCGCACCCATATTGGTTACCTGACTTTATGGATGTTTTTACCTGGTCATTACCTTTTGTTGGTGAAAAAGTCACTGAAATGCTTGTCTCCATATTAAATATCTGTACTGAAGATGAATTGGAAGGTGATATCTCCTCTGAAGATAAACCTGATTCCACTACTTCGGACGTATCAGTTCAAGCCGCTAGACCTGTTGGAAAGACAGGATCAGCAATTTTAGATGACGAACACAGAAGAAAAGCTCTAAAGAATAAAATTTTAGCAATTGCAAAGGTTTCTAGAATGTTCTCAGTTCTTAGAGAAGAGAGTGATAAAGTTCAATACTTAAAGACTATGAATGCAGGTGTTCTTCCTCGTGGTGCTCTTGCACATGGTAGTGAAGGTTTAGATGAAGCCTTAACCGCATTTGAAATGGCAAGAAAACAAGATTTAATTAATGAAAAATTACCACCATCACTTGAAGAATTACAAAAGGGTCAGGATCAGAAATATGAGAATATTTTAAAAAAAGCGACTAACCATAAATAAATTTTTTATAATAAAAATAAGTTAATTTGACTGATTTCAATTACAGTCTAAATTAGGATGTTTTAGTAGAGTTAGACATTATGTATCAATGATAATACGAATGATATTTTTATGGTATTATATCTATATATTTATATTATAAATATAATTAATATGAAGGGTAGATTCTAAAATACAAATTAATAATGTGCGACTAATTATAATCAATGAGTTTACACGTCTAATTGTGTAAACGTTTTTCGTAGGAGTGTAAGTTGTGAACGTTACCTTCTAATTGAGCAGATGCAGATCTGAATTCGAATCTGACGTTGCTAGCATCAACTTCAGAACGTAAAGACTTCAAGTCAACGACACCAATATCTTGACATGAGTGTTGTAGACCGTTGTACAAGTATGGGATGAACTTCTTGACAGAACCCTGTCAACGACAGCACCAGCAACACCTTGAGCAACCAAGACAGAGTCGGATTCAGAGAAGTAACGAGAAGTAGAAGCATTAGCCTTTTTATCGGTCTTTTGCATAGCATCAATGGAACCCATACCACGGTAAGCCTTTAATCTCTTACCATCTTGGTAGAAGTATTCACCTGGGGATTCGTGAGTACCAGCTAACATACCACCCATCATAGCGGTAGAAGCACCTAAAGCCAAAGCTTTGATGATGTGACCAATGTTTTGAATACCACCATCAGCCATACATGGAACACCATATTTGTTGGCAAATTCACAGACGTTGTAGACAGCAGTACCTTGTGGTCTACCACAAGCCATAACTTCTTGGGTGATACAGATAGAACCAGAACCCATACCGATTCTCAAACCATCAGCACCACTAGCGATCAAGCTAGCAGCTTGTTCTCTGGTGACAACGTTACCAGCAATAACTTCTAAAGATGGGTAGGTTTGTTTAATCCATTGCAACATGTTGATTTGGAAAACAGAGTTACCTTGAGAAGAATCTAAGACAACAACATCCAAACCAGCTTCAACCAACAAAGCTAATCTTTCCTTGTCAGCTTCGATAGTACCAATGGCAGCACCACACAACAATTGTTTAGTGGTAGCAGATTTGGAAGCCAATGGGTAGTTTTGGTTCTTCATCAAATCGGTTCTAGACAACATAGAAACCAAGTTACCGTTGTCATCGACAATCAATAGCTTACCTTTCTTGGTAGTCTTCAAGATTTCATTACCTTCAGATAAAGTAATACCTTGCTTACCAGTAACTAAATCAGTGGTCATGACTTGAGAGACTAGGAGAGAGTCTTCTTCGATGAATTGGATATCACGAGAAGTGATGATACCCATAACCTTACCGAATTGTTCACCATTTTCTGTATTCAATATTAAATGATTGTATTGTTAGTAAATTGTCAATTGATACAAATGATTTCTTTAATTAAACTTCTGTATCAGGCTTGATAATGAGATCTAAATGAATTTTAGTATCAGAGTTAAAAAATCTCTACAAGATCGTTTGATCGCAGTCAGTAGAACGAAAGTTATTAGAATTAGGATTAATCATCATTACTAATAGAATAGATCATTTTAGATTAATCATTATCAGTGCCAATAAGAACCAAAATAAAAGTAAAAAAAAAATTTTCTTGATTAGTTAAAATAGAATAACATACCAGTAACTGGGAAACCAGAGAAACCGAATCTTTCTCTCATTTGTTTAGCTTCGAAAACGGTAGCATTTGGAGAGATGACAACAGGGGAATTAATGAAACCATTTTCAAATTTCTTAACTTTTCTGACCATTTCAGCTTGTTCTTCTGGAGAACAATTGTGATGGATGATACCGATACCACCTAATAAAGCCATATGAATAGCCATTTCGGATTCAGTAACGGTATCCATTGGGGAAGAAACTAATGGAGCATTTAAAGTAATCTTTTTAGTCAATTTAGTTTCTAACTTAACAGCAGAAGATGGGAAATCAATTTTACCAGGTAAAATTAAGAAATCATTGTAGGTTAAACCACCTCTAGTTCTAGAATCCATTAATTCAGAAACAGACAAACCATCCTTAGTTTGATATTGGTTCAAGCTTTCTAAAGCTCTGCTACAATCGTTGAAAGAGGCCATTATTATTTTTTTATATGTATATAAAAAGTTAAAATTCCCACTATTTGTTTGGATATGTCAATACTCAGTGATATATGAGTTGTCTTTACCACTGAGATGAGATTAGATTAAAGAAAACGACGACAAGACAAGATAAATCCTGACAAGAATAAAATCCACCACCGCCATTCCACCACACATAGAGTAAAAGTTCAAATCAAAACCAAAAGGAAAATTTTCCAATAACTAAACATTGAATAACAGAACCAATGAGATGAGATGAGATGAGATACCAGAAATTTCAACTAGTATTTATACAATTTATTTTAGCAATAGAAAGGCACTTCCTCTAATTGAATATAGTACTACAACAGAGCCAAACAAGAAGGAAAAAAAAAATTTTCATTAGACAAGTAAAAAAAAAAATTTCTTTCTTAGTTCAATCAATGGACCATTAGTAAATATTGCTGTTGTTGGTACCTATTAATTTCAAAACTACTGGGATAAGTAGGTCAAAAAACCAATACCAGTTGACAGAAATAGAAGAAGTTTCAGTTGGTAATGTAGTAATGGATTACAAATTTTTTCTCTTTGATATTTTTTTTCACTTTTCTTTTTTTGGTCGAAACCTCATCGAAATTTTCACGTTTCTTTTTTTATTTTATACTTTTTCGAAACGAAAAGTATTGGCTCGTTTCTTTTTTTCTCTTTTTAAACTGTATTTCGAAAGCAGCAAGCGGAAGAGCCAGAGAGAAAAATGGATGGTAATGGCTTGGGGATTGCTGGTCTCTGGGATGGATGTAGCCATCTATCTCTCTAACCCTCGAGCCCGAGGATTGCAACAGCTAAACAAATAAACTTTGGATTTGGTTTTTGGCTTTGGCTTTGGCTTTGGCTCTTTGGCTCTTTGGTGTTTGTCCTAACTGAAATTATAAATTTTGGTGGCTTTCGAACACGATCACCGCGTGGATTGTGACAAAAATAAGAAACGCGTTTATACTATTTTGTGTTTTTGTTTTTTTCTGTATATCCCATAAAAAAGAAACGGGAGAAGAATTTTCGGTTTCGAAGGAAATAAAAATGTCTGGACAAAAGTTTGTCATGATTTTGGAAAAGTGAAAGGTGTCAATTATCACAACTTGACAGGCTATCAAAAACAAAAACAACAGGGGATTGGCATTTGTATAAATACTCAAGGGTATATGAGATCTATTTCTTTCTCTTTTCTTTACCCCTTCCTTCATTGTATTTTAATAATTCCTTTCTATTTTAGTTTTAGTTTTAGTTTTAATTTCATTTTTAAGATACCTAGGACATCAATAATGTTTGCAGTTGACTAACTAGAATGTTATCAAAGTCAGATACTTTCTAGTTAGTGCAGTTTTAATCCAAGTTCGTCGAATGAGTGTTAATATTTGGTTGAAATTACAGATCTAGTAGTGGTTTCCGAAATCTGGGATCTCTTCCAAACAGTTTAGCGTCAGACGTATTGATTAGATGCAACCATGGAGTCTTTCCAATGCCTATCGTAAGGGCAGGTTGCCAATATGTTTGGTGTTGGAGATTTTTCGTTGTATTCATTATAAATGTAGTAATAATGAAGTTTTGTCATCGTTATTGAACTAAACATTCTTCTTTCGATGCTGTCCAATATGGATTAGAATTTTGTATTCTCACCTGCAAACTTTAATGGTTCCTCTCCTTAGGGGTAAGCGACACTGCAATGATGTATCTAGGATGCTCAAATTTTGTGAGGTAGTAGACATAAAGTTTGGTTAATGGCAAAGGTAATTGAATAACGGTATTATTGATTTTTTTTTCTTAATTATTTGAATGTGTTAGGTGGTTTCCGTCGAGAATTTCGAGATTACTTCAGTTTTACGTGAAGTTATTATTTGTGCGAGCAAGGTTCCTATTGTTCTGAATATACATCATCTGTAGAGCTTATCCTTAGTTTATTTTTGTCTTTTGTATACTATTTTAAATTTTTTTGTCTAACTATGCCCTTTTTTAATACATATTGTTAAGTTAACGTCTTTGGTCATGCTTTCGTAAAATCTTGTAGAACTTATTTATCTAATCATCTGTGTAGTTGTCCTGGAGGGGCCAGATTATCTGGAGTCTAAGGCGTTTAATTTGGGGGTTTAGCTCATGCATAAGAGCATTTCCGCCCTCCCAAAGGAAGTGGGAAATAAATTATGGTGCTTTTAAACATTTCTACTTGCAACGAAACTAAGAATACATTGCAGTTTCCTATATCTATTTCTAAATGCAATTATATTGTGCCTTTTCAGACTATCGTTTTTAATTCACCAACTTAAGCTAGCCTCTTGAAGTAAAACTTTAAATATCTATTACAAATATGTATAATACAATTTAAACTTACACAATTGACAAAGACTCTATATAACAATAAGTATATTAGATAGAAGTGGTATACAAGTTATTGTTTGACCTTTTATTTCACAAATAATAACTTTTCAAGAATTTTTACCAGTAGTGAGATTGAGAAACCTCACATATAATTGAATTTTGAAATAAGAATATTGTAACTGCTTGATTCAACCTTAATATATTTGCCAATAAAATTGTTGGTTAGTGGTTAATATTTCAAAGGTATTCTGAAGTACATGTAGAAATAATAACTTATTCTTTTCTGTCTTGACTTTTATATTTTTATATTTTGTTTTGTTGAAATTCCTTTTGTGAGTACTTTATGCCTAAGTGTGTTCTCTTTCAATGAAAAATAGTAATTGATAATAATAAACATAAACTATTAACTTTAAACATCTATCTTCAGTTAGTCTAAAGATATTCATGTATACACATTAAAACATTTTATAAAATTAAAAACTATTAAAATAGAACAAATATAATTACACAATACTTTTACAAAGGAAAATTTGTATCATAGTCCCTATTTATTCAATAAATGTTCAATTTTGTCTTCCAAAGCCTTTAATCTTTCATCTTTTTCTAAATTAGAGACAGATAGCTTTCCAATTACATCTTCTAAGTGCAAGACCAAACTAGACAACTTTTCAACTGATTGTTTTAATCCTAAAGATTTTGCACCACCTGTAGTTGTTGGTGTCTTTGGAGTCTCTACAGTAGACTCTTCCTTAATTTGAGATGCTGGGGTACTTTCTTTTTTAGCTTGAACAGGAGTAGATGGTACAGATTCCTTACGAGGTTCATCAACCTTTTTCACTGGTGATGGTGTTTTTTCCTTTTCAATAACGGGAACTGGTTCTTCTTCCCATTCAGATGAGTTCTTTGAAGGGTCTTCTGCGTTGTTAACCTTATCTAATTCTGAAGACTTGGCTAATAATTTATCAACGGAGGAATCCTTTTTCAAAATGTCATTGACTGAAGAGTTTGGTTTAGGAGATGCTTCTTTAACTTCTTCTTTAGATGGGGTTGCAGCTTTTGGAACAGGTTTTTCTTCAACTTTAACTGGTTCTGGGGTAGCAGCTTTGACAGGAGCAGCAACTGGTTCAGCCTTTTTAGCTTCATGGTATTGTAATTCAGTTCCGTCGTAAATGGTCTCCATGCTAACTAGTAAAGGGCCTTCTACAGATTTACCAGAAAACCATTCTTCCGCGGTCAATGCATGTCTTTCGGATGGTGCATCTGGGTAAATATCCTCTTGGAATTCTTCAGACTTTCTTGGAACGTAAAACGAAATTGGTACAATCAATTGATCAACAACTGTTTTGAAACATTTTAAAACTTCATTTTCTTTAACGTTAACGGTACGTTTTGGAGCAACAGCAAAACCTCTTTGAGGTTCAGTTGATTGGTATTCTGATAATTCAAACAATTCATCATTTTGGAATTCATAATAACGAATGTTACCATCACCTTTACCGGCAAGATATAAAATCTTGTTACCGTCATCAAAGAAAGGCATTAAAATACCAGAAGATTGATCAACAGTGTAAAACCCTCCAAGATCACCTTTTTCAAGATTAAAAGCATCCCAAATACCAATTTGACGGTCACTTAATCTTGAGAAACCTGTAGTTGCCAATCTATTACAATTACCTAACCAGACAACTCTTTGATTCTTAGCACCAGTATGGGCAGCACCTTCGCTTACAACGGTACCTTTTCTAACATCCCAGACTCTTAATTTTTTGTCACGAGAAACAGTAGCTAAATGATTACCATCATAGGAGAAAGACATTGAGGTAACCATATCTGGATGTTTTAAAGTAATTTCATCCTTACCGGTTTCGACATTCCAGATCTTAACAGTATAATCTAATGAAGAAGAAGCCAAAATATTCTGGGCAACAGGACTGTATAAGACATGACCAACTTTTTTCTTATGACCAGTAAGAATCTTCACTGGGGAAATATCCTTTGGTTGATTATCTTCGTCAAGATAATGGTGGAAGGAATAGTTCTCTGGTATATCCCAAACTGCAATCTTCGAATCATCAGCACAGGAAACAATTCTTCTCTCATTGAAAGGATCAAATTCAGTATCCAAAACTTGAGCTGTATGACCTCTAAACAATGGAACTTGATCAGGGTTTTTACCAACTTCCTCTACAGGAATCACAGCAAAAGCACCACCACCAGAAGACTTCCAATTAACAGAAATAAACTTACCATTAGTCTTTAAAATGTTAGAATCCCAAGCATTATTGGTAACTTTAACATTCTCATATTGCAACTCTTTCTTGGCTGCTTGACCAAAAACGTGTCTGTACTTAGAAGCACGAACAAATTTACCACTCATCCTTCAATTTAACTAATCAGTAAAAATAAATATCCACAGGATCTCTTGATACCCTTATCAAATCTCTTTATATAGCAACAAACTCGAAATCGATCTAATATCAATATGTGTTTTGATATTTGTTAAACACTTTAATTTCTTAAATATCGCTTATTTAAAAGGGGCAGCCTTCCTTGCCCTCCAAGGACATTTCAATATTTAAAGACAGAAAAGACAACTTGATTGATGTCATTTAAAGCCATTTAATTAAGCCATGGCTCAGGATGAGGATTGGTATCTGACTAATGATGGTGTATTGATTATTTCAACTTCCTGCCAATTTAAACCTTTCGAATTGGGTGAGAATTGATCAAAGACAAAAAAAAAAGTATATACCTATATCTATCTATTACGTAGTGAAAAAATATGAATTAATAATGCATTGTTTGGGGGGTTATATTTTATGGAAAGTTTATAATATTGTAGTCCTTAGAAGTTCTGATGACCTCCGCTGCTGAATAATAGCACTTTTGCCTTCGACTTTGATTTTGACTTTGATTTTGGGTTTGATTCAATTGATACATTCGAAGATTCCGATTTTGGAGGTTCTTGCATTTTTTGTAGCAACATCTCTTGAAACTCTTTTTCTTCTTGATATCTCTTATCATCTACTTGAATATCAATTGAAGTACCCCAGATAGTTGTCTCAGTGTAGGATTTTTGTCTGTGCTCATTCCCATTTCCATTTGAGTAAGCAGATGTATCAGATTTCCTAGCTGAATTTCTTGAGAGATTCAACTCACTTAAGGATCCAAGAAATTCCTGAGATGTAGCGCTTACAGAATAGTCAGTCTCGTGAATATTATAGAATTCACCATTTTCTCTTTGGTAAAATTCTTTATGTTCTTTTTCTAATCTATTCTCATAAATCTTTTTTTGAATGTCTTCTCTTTTCTGTTTCATAGAAAACTTTCTTCTTCTTTGTTTCAACTCATTAGCAAATTTTCCATACACATGCTTCGGTATGATCTCTGAGTTTCTCCAATCTAAATCAACTAATGCTATCTCGGTTCCTAATGGTAAGTGACTGACATACTTATACCGATTAATATAATCGTGAGTTATAACATCTCCAAAGTGAATGTTCTCAATGGCCATCTCGAGTCTTAAAGGCATTTTACTATATTGCTCAAATCCTTCTCTTAATATCTTAATGTCCAATGGGGATAAAAAGAATTTAGTACTGCTGTTAAATGAAGTCTGATAGAAGAAAAATGAACTAGAGTCATTGTAACGGGAAGATAAATTGGTATCCTTCATTAAAAGCTGATCAGAGAATGAATCGTCTAAAGAGTCATCCCTAGAGAGGGTTTCTGTAACTTTTTCATTAATACTATCGATTGCTGAGTTCACAAACCTATTATCAGCATTATACAATGCCTTATCGACTGCATATTGATCTTGAATAGCATCAATATCGTTCTGAAATAATTGTAATGAATACGAAGTATTACAAGTAATAATTCTGGAATATTTAGAAACTTCCTTCATTTGAATAGTAGGAAAATTACCAATTTTTTCAATATCTACATTCAATTCAGCTGGGAGAGCTAAGGCAAAAGCATGAGGTTTACACATCAACAAAAACTCACAGTTGGAACCAGCCTTTGGTAACTGATCAATTTTTGAATTTTCTGAATTGTCTTCGAATATAACATCCTTGACATTATGGGATCTGATAATACTACTACACAATGGACACTCTTTGTATTTCTTTTGCTTTACAAAACCAGTATTTGGATTCTTAACTGTATCAACAATCGAAAAAAATGTCAAGAGACATGTATAACAAAATATGTGCCCACAGGTAACCATTCGTGGTGCTACTGGTTCTTCACATAAACAAATTGGACAGTTTTGTCCCTTGGGAACCACAACTCTTACAATATTCTCGGCTGGAACCAAGCAATTGGGATCAGCACTTTGTGCTTTATATTCAGATCTTGAATCAACAAGCAGTCTATAGTTTGCATTAATAAAAGAATCACCATGTAGATGGATATGTTCCACATTTTTCCTTTTTTCAGATTTCGATTTGTGAATAGAAGGTTGAGAGTGTGAATCTCTTTCAATTTCTGGAAGCTGGAATTCTAGCAAATGATTAATAGATATTTTAGTCTTGCGACCTCTCAACTTATAGTTGCCACCAATAATTTCATCCTGAATAGAATCCTCCAAACTATCCTGGACAAATCCTGATCCAGCCTGTTGAAGATGCTCATTTGAAGAGGTAAACTTGGAAGGGAATTTGCCACCACGTCCATTATACCGTTTCTGCTTACCATGGTGTTGGCTACCATTAGGATTCTTGTAATTTTGAAATTTTTTATTCTTGATATTTTTATTCTGAGAGTGATTTTTATTACTAGACTTGCTCTCAACAAGTTTATTCACATTCTTCTCACTACTACTACTCTGGAGACCAGATGAACTTCCTTCAGTAACCTGCATCGTATCCATATAAGTGTCAGGCTGTCCTTATCAATATCTACTGAAGCTATAAGTTTAATGATGCTTTATTCACTAATTTAAGCAACAGCAAAAATAATTGATAAAAGACTAAAAATCTCCAAAGCAAAAGGTGGAAATCTATCTCAAATCTTCAATATACCCTAAAGATACACTTTAATCGGTAGTAAGAGCTACAACCCCATCCATAATGAGCATTTCTTATACTCTTTTAATGACAATATTTTTAAATATCTAATCGTTATCCTTTTTTCATGTTTTAGTCGTCATAGAAAAAAAGGTCAATATATTAGATAGTGAAGACAATAAAGTTTCAGATAAGACAAGAAGAGAAGAGATATGACGACTAACCAATGTATAATACAGGAATTACATGTTTCGATATTTAATTTAAGTTCATTTAATTTGAATTTAATTGAAAAACTTCTAAAAAACATTGGCTAAAATGTTCAGGAATTGATCAATTTACTGGCAAAAATCGTGAAATTAAGAAATAGTAAAGTACCTACTGTTCATAGGATGGCTAGGAAGCCAATTTACAATTTTTAAACCACTTTTTATTTTTATATAATTATACATTATTATTAGTATATTATTATTAATGGAATGATGCATTTATGATTTAAGTTATTCATTATTGTTACAAATCTCTAGGTTTACAGGCTAATAACAATTGTCTATTAGCAATATTTGGATGACTGAGTGAAATGATTGCTTCATCAATATTTTTTGAGCTTATCAATCTTATTTTTTTACCCTTGATGATTTGTACCGGTACTAGTCTACCTAAAGGTGTATCTGTATTTAAGTCATATATTTGAACTAAATTATCACCAACCAGGATTAAATATCCCATAATTAACGACACACCGGTACAATAAAAATCTAATACTAAAATATCATGCTTCCAATTCTCGATATCACCATATTTATTGATCATAACTGCGGCTTCATCATATACCATGACATATTTCAACGAATCATCTAGATGAAAACAAGAAATGGGTTTTGTTTTATTTGACGCAATATCCTTCTTAACATATTCTGCCATTTTCTGTTTCGAAGAATCCTTTTTTGACGAGCTTTCTATATTGGTTTTGAATGCATAATGTGAAATATGAGATTGCTTCAAATAGGATGACATATCTGTATCATTAAAAAATGTCGGTAAAACAATTCCATCATCGTTAAATGCATCTTGATAAACAATAGACCCTTTAGTCGTACAGGCTATAAAGCATTTCTTAAAAACTATTATATCGTGAACATCTGGCGCCGTTAAAGTGGCTCCAAAATTTGGTAAACTGTATTCCTTGTAAAATTTAAAAAATTTCAGTGACTTTGTCAATCTATCAAATTCCGGCGTCAAAACTACAATTTTCCCTTTCCTCTCATATAACAAATGCTTAGAATTACCAAAGTCTTCTGCAAATTTAAATGTACTTATCTTATCTTTAACTAGGATTCCAATAACTCTATTGTTGGATAAATATTTCTGAGGTGAGTAATATGCACCTAATAAACTTGGAATATTATAGTAACACAATTTCCTGTTATCCAGCACAAAAATGAGACCTAACTTAACATTGGACTCCATTTTTTTCACATAAACACAATTTATAACTTTAACAAATTTCTTACTGGATTCACTCTCACATCTCATAAAAATACCAAATTCTGTAGCGACAAAAAAATACGTTTTTGCCTCATACTCAATGCTTATTGAGCATGAAATCATAGCTGGCATTATTCTTACATTTTGTAGTGCCCTGTTATTTTCTGTCTCGTACTTTTTTAATGCAATGTCAATTTCAGAACCTTCTGTTGTAACAGGTAAATTGACAGGTGCATCCTTTTCTGAATATGCAAATTGTGTGCTAATTACTTGAACATTGAATACAGGGGTTACTGTCTGTTTCTTACAAATATCGAAACAAGCAATAAATGCCTTTCTCCATTGTTCTCTTTCTTCAAATGAGGATGAGTAAAATGTAAAAGACTCATTTGTTGCCAGATTTCTAACTTTAAATCCAAATTCAGAATGAGATGGAATTGCATTTGAAATTTCAGTATGCGAGTTTTCCTTATTTGTTCCATGTGTAGGGGAGGAGTATAATGACTTTGAAACCGTACTAGCGGCATTAATTAAATGAGGACGTACGGCACTAATAGGTGTTGAAACTAACTGACTAGCCGATTTATTAGATCCTTTGTAGATAGACTCTCTTATACTCCCTCCTGCACTAGAACGACCATCTTCATTACTAGGCTTGCGCTGTTCCAAATTTAGGTATTCAATCGGGATTGGTCTTTCAATAAGCTTGTACCTTTCTTGATTACCCTTCATGACCCTTTCTGTTATAAGGAAATAATTATCCAGAAGGGCTATATATACGGGAGTTGGCTCTAACCAAAGCTCTCTTTTTTTCATGATAGTACCTGCCATTAGAAGTTTTCTACCAGTATCAGTCAGGCCCAGATCTAGTTTGTCTTGTGAGGAAGTACCATCATCATCTTCAACAGAATCTTTGATGTTGACATAGCCGACGGTATAATTGTTTTTACTATTAAAAACTAGTTGCTTTGAGAATCTAACAAGTTTTCTCCTATCTATTGCTGCACCATGAACACGATCAACTTCTGCACTTAAACTTTCTACTTCTTTAATAACTATTTCTAAGTATTCGTAATCTTCCATGGAAGGATCTGTATTTTTCAAAATAGACTGTAAAGTTAAAGGTAAATTTTGCAACGACTTAAAAAAACCACCAAAAAATATCACATCATGATACATTTTGGAACGAGTAATATCAGGTAAATTATCTACCTCTGCCAACCATTGTGCAAATTTTGTGTTATGTTGTTTTTCCCAAGTAATAATTTCATGAACGGTAGCCATAGCAGTAGCATAATTTATATAAATTTCTCTAGCCTCATTTACCCATTTCAAATAAATCTTTCCAATAGAGTCTATAAACTTTCCTCTGGTTTTAAGTTTCCAAAAAATTGGAGTTAGCAGAAATTCTTTATGCAATTGAATAAGTGGTGGAAAAACGTTGAATGCTAGTGATGCGAAATTAGGCTCATCTGGTAATAAATTTGGATCAAAGTTTTTCCCATATACCTCTAATGCTGCATTTGCCATATTTAAGGATCTTTCCTCCAATATTATTAAATCAAAAATAAAACTCTGTCTTTGAATTTCACGAGGGTTAATTTCTGCTAACATTTCTGGAGTTAATTTCCAATAATCTGTCCATAGTCCCACAGATTTATTAATTATTTCTGATAACTTAAGTTCTTGCCTTGACTCTGTAGGTAATCTATTGAGACAAGTTTCTGAATAACACACTGTAGCTAATGTAGGAGAATATGTATTATCAGAAAATGAGTAACATGGTAATAGTTCTGTGAAGATACCACAAATATCTAAACCAGCTACTATAATTGTGATTTCATTTTCGTTTTCTTCATCCTCATCCGATTCTTTTTCAAATCTCACTGCCTTTTGAAGAACTAAGGATTCTATTATTTTATCAACATTTGAATCAATTGTGTCTTGATCAAAGGCCTTGGGCATTTGGAATTCTAATAACAGCTGAATCATTTGAAAAAATTCAAATTTTCCGAATACATATTCATTAAACCATTCAAAATATACCTTTAACACCCATTCATAAATATCAGATAATTTATATACACTATAACACTGATATAACTTGTTTTCATCCAAGGAATTAATTGAAAATGGTTGTGTAGGTGCTGTTATACTTGGCGCAAGTTCTAGAGGTTTACCACCTAGTAATGAATTAAAGCTACTATGTCTTGCATTGGAATTATTAAATGTATAATTTGAGTCTGAATAACAGCTTTCAATACTATCTGAAACCTTACTATTACCGCTCATATTTCTTGAAGATGAAGAAGGAATTTTGGGTAATGGAGGCCTTTCAAAAAATGTCGGACTGTCCAATATGTTATCATTATAAGAACTTAATCCAGGTATCGATTTTGTCGATTGCTCAAATTCTTCTGGAGGAGTGCTCCAAATCCTAGGAGAACTACTTCTTGATTTTATTTCATCATCTCCTATAAAAGGTGAGCGATAAATCTTAGAACTATTATTTGTACTTTTCCTCAATAAGTTTGAATCTGACTCAGATACAAATGGAGATTTATATTGAGATGAAGTAGGTGTTGAAGTTTTTGTTCTAGTTGGTGCTATTCGAAGAGGTGAAGAAGGTATGCTATATTGGGTTGGAATTCTTGGAGGCGGAGGTCTGCCACTAATTGATCTCCTACTCCCAGAAATGGGAGAATCAGAATTATTTACATTCCCGATATTCGAAAGACTTCCAGTACTATTAGGTTCGCTACCACCCACACCATTATTGCCTATGACAGGAGTCCAACCAATAGATATATTGTCTTCACTATTATCTCTATTTTCCAGAAACGAAGATTTTGTCCTTAATGGTGGCAACTTTGGTAGATCAACATTTTCACGATTGCTGACGAGATTGGGACGCTTATATTGTCCTTGAGAACTAGTCTTAGGATAATTATAACTGCTCATCGTCAATATGATAAATATTTCATAAATTTATTCAAATTTAGAATCATTAAGAGAAACTAATTCAAATTTAATGTCACGAAATTAGTCAATTGAATAAGACTAAATAGATATTTGGCCACTGAGTCGACTCTTGAGTGCTCTAGAAGTTCAAATCAGTGTTGCTCATCAAACTCTGTAACTAATCAATTCAGCCTTTTAACCTTCCTTTAATATTACCAATAATATCTGATAGTTAAATAGGGGTCGTGCTAAACGACGTACATATAAGGACCCATATACCAAGAGTTATCCTTTGATTTAAGGACAAAGGAGTAACTCAAGATACCTGGAAGTATCTTCGTTATAATTTTAAGCCGTTAATTGATATTTTTCAGTTTTCAAACTTTTATTTAAAGTTCATTTTTGGTCCAAATATCTTCTGAGAAACCAGATCTCAAAGTAAATAGACTATTTATAGTGAGATATGTGTATGCTGGTGGCTAACAAACCATACAAAATCCAAACACTATATTTAATATTGTTAGATCATATCTTAAAACCGCAACAAAGCCCTGAATAGAGCTATTTTTGTAAAACTTCTGAAAAGTTGAATTCCAAAATATGGCAAACAGTGTATTTTCAAAAAACAACAATTAGAAGACTCCGTGGCCAAGCTGGTTAAGGCGTGCGACTGTTAATCGCAAGATCGAGAGTTCAATCCTCTCCGGGGTCGTTTATTTTTTATTTTTATAGCTGTTCATAAACAGTTAACAGTGTATGACAGGAAAGTCTAAATTACCATAATTAAAGCTGATCAAGACTAAACAAAGGGAAAGTAGGTCATCCAAATAGAAACAGAATCTTGTTTATACTATAGATGAATATATATACATATATATTTATTATTTGGGTAAAAAATAGGTTCTTTTCATAATATAATCCATGCACAGCCGAGTTCCAAGCATCACTGACAACATAATCAATCAATCGTCATGAAAAACCACAGCAAAAGTCTAGACCATTAATTAACCTTGAATAAAAGTAGCATCGATTTTTTGTAATGATGGCCCTAAATTCATCATTAACTTTCTTCTGTATGATATTTCATTATTACGTTGAATTGGGTTGGCTTCTAAATATATTGTTTCAAGGTTTGGCAATTTACCCAATTCTTCACCTAGTGACTCAAAAGTTTGGTCAACTTTATTAAAAGATGCCCAAATATCCGTTAGATTAGTCAAGTGTTTTAAATTTTCTATTTTTTCAATCTTGTTAGCTGTGATATCCAGGGTATTTAATTTCAAATTTTTATCCAGATTTTCAATTTTAGTAATAAAATTATGAGAAAGGTACAACTCTTCTAAATTTTCTAATTCCTCTAAACCTTCAATATTTTTCAATTTATTACCTTGAATTGATAAAATCTTCAAGCTCTTCAAATGATGTAGATTAATCAACCTTGGAATAGAGTTTTTACCCAACCAAATTTCTTCTAGCTTCTCCAACCCTTGGAAAGAATCCGGCCCTATTTCTTTGATATTATTACCACCCAATTCTAGATTCTTCAACTTTGTCAAAGTTGATAGATTTTCAATAACTGATATTTTATTTTGAACGAAGTATAAATTTTCAAGATTAACCAATTTATCAATATTTTTAATATTTTTAATGTTATTAAATGAAAAATCCAAATTTTCTAAAGCAACCAATTTATTGACATTACTAGAAATATGTTTAATCCTATTATCATACAAATCCAACTCTTTCAAAGTATCATATGGCAATACATCAACTTCACTAATACTTTCAATCAAATTCTGTCTTAAACATAACGATACTAATTTCTTGAACCTATACAGATTCAAATCTTCCATAGAACGTATCTTCAAATGCACCAAATCGATATTCTCGATATCATCCTCCAAATCTTCTGTCAATTCACTGTCTGCACTAATATATTCAAAATTAGTATCAGGGATTATCTGTTGCCTTAAACCATTTGGCCCAGTTTCAATTATTTGCAATGGGGTTTCCTCAACGTTTTTAGAATCATCACCAGAACTCATTATAACTTATTTTTAACCACTCTTATCAATGCCTGATCACTTCTTAATACTTATATACTAATCTATAATTCAGTTTATCTCTTCATCAGATGTTGTTAAATCAATATTATTAATAGTTTTATAACCGTTTTCCTTATTATATAGGGAAAAATTAGTATGTGAAATATACTGTCCCTAGCTATGTAAAAGAGATGAGTTATTGAACGGAATGAGGCAAGCTTCAAATCGCTGATCGATGTAACTGAACTTTGACAATGTCGCATTTGATTGTGTAGAGTTATAAATATATATATATTTAGTTATACATACGTATATATAGAAATAAGTTGAAGAATTGTGTAAATGGAAGAAGGACCAATGAACCAAAATATATTAAATTGGTTATGATGACCACTTAATAGACCAGTTTAATTTTGATCCTGCTTGGAAAGGTGCTACAATGATTGATTTGTCATTGGTGATGACTTCTGGGATGGATTGCTCCTTTCTGTATAGTATCAATTCTTTAGTAGATTTTAATGATTCTGGTTTAACGTCGTAGAAGTTAAAGCCAAATTCTGATACGAAACCTTTTAGTTTTGGTAAAGATTGATATTCGTCGAAGATTTCTGCCAAGTAAGGTACTGCGAATAATTGAGAATACACACCTGCACATACGCCAACATGTTTTGCTTTATTGGATAGAGGATGAGGTGCTGAATCTGAACCGAAAAAGAAATAAGGTTTGCCAGAGGTAGCAGCTTCAATTAAAGCCTTCTTGTCCTTTGGTAATTTTGCTACTGGCTTACAAAAGTTAATTGGGTTACCTGCCCAGTCATCAATTGTTAAGAACAAGTGATGAGCTGTAATGGTAGCGGCAACCTTGACATCTTTGGAATCAGTTACGTTTTTATTGATTTCTTTAATCGTGTTAACAGCAGCTTCTGTAGTACAATGCTCTAAAACTATCTTCAAATTAGGGAAATCGTTATTTAATTTCTTCAAAGCCGGTAAGAAGCATTCTTCTGCGTTCAACACATGGATATCTTCTTGATTTGAACTGTTATTTGTTACTGACGGTTTTTCACCGTGTAAATTCAAAACTAAACCCTCCTCTTCCATTGCTTTAAAGATAGGATAAAAAGCTGTGAAATCGTTTGGGTCAACACCCGAACTTGAATTAGTGGTGACACCAGCTGGATAACACTTAACGCCTTGAATAGCTCCAACTGATGCAGCTTTGTGAATCAATTCCGGAGTCAATTCACTAGATAAATAAAAACTCATTAAAAATGTGGTCTCTGGCGCAATCTTCTCCAATTCAGACTTATAAGCAATAACTCTATCCAATGTAGTCACTGGAGGTTGCAAATTTGGCATAATATAAGCAACTGAAATACCACCTTCTTTAATTGTTGGCGTAATCAATTCACACATTTCACCGTCCCTTACGTGGACATGCATATCGCATGTTGTACCTAAATTAATCTCTTCCATTCTCAACAAAACTATTCTACTATGCACACAGACCTTCTGAACACCTATAAATATCCCAGGTATCTCTCTTGTACACAAGATATCACAACATTCCAACAGAAAGTAACATCCATCTCTCTCTTTTTAATATCAATTTATTCATCTAATTTTATATTGAAATAAGACTCATCGGGTGATTTTTCATTGAGAAGTCAATAGGTTGATCAAAGAATATAAAACAAGTCAACCAAATAGTGTTCTAGATATGCATATCTTGTAGGCTTAGGATGGCTATGTTGAGTGTGGGATACGGTTGATTAAGAATATGTTGGATTCCTGATTTTTATTTTTAGTTGAGGGTATTGCTTGGCAGTATCGAGGAAATTATAGCGATATGAAGAAGATATTGAAAGATTTCAAATAAAAATCAGCATGCTGTAATAGATCTAGGAGGTGTCAATGCTGATCAATGTATCTGAATTAGTTGGGAATCAAGTGGGATGTATACAATTTTTAAATTTTACCTTAGTTATTTTCTTTAGTGGAAAGAGTGACATCTGCAGGGAATAGCCACTTTTTTCATAACTGGGTAAAGGAGGATATCCTACGTCTACTTGTAATTAATTGTTTATTGATCTTCTTTTATATTGTAAAATTACAATGCCATTTCTACAAATAGAATCAAGAGGCTCTGAACTATGAATGTCATCAATACTTGCAAAAAGGTTTTCCAAAGTTGTAGTCATATTGAATAAAAGACCCGATTTTTTTTACTATTAGATCAATATCTAAATGGAAATGTGACTACTCTAGTCTCTTCATGTCAAGATTATAAAGTTCATGTCTTGGAGCTGAAATCAGTTGAGGGAGTAATGTTCTTTAATTATGTTTATTATATATAATAAACATCGAGCATACCTATGTCGAATATATATGTTGCTGTCAGTTCCCTATGTTATTGTCAGTTATATGATAAACACTTAGGGATAATAGTTGGATCAATGGTCTCTTTTGAACTGAATCTATTAATTCTACCACTGCCGAGGCATGTGACAGACAGGCCAGTTAGGTAAATGGCCCTTATTTTCTTCCAAATCCAGAAAATATTTGACTATATATCCTTGTAATGTAGTCACCAGCATATTAGAGTACGGCAGTATTCATATGCTGAGGCCATAAATTTTGTCTTTTGAATTACTGTCATTTATACTTTTATTCTACAACAAGATTGCGCTATACACAATTTATCGTATTTACGTTATCAGACGGCCCAGTAATGAAAGGATGCGTTATTGAGACTTTTCAATATATCAATTCACCTCTTTACTCAAGTATTGACTGACAACTTGTCAGAATTATGAGGTAACACGTGATATATACGTATTACGACATTATTCATATAGGATAAAGAAATGTTACTTTACACGAAAGTGTTATTTCTGACGTTAAAACTTTTCCAACACTTTATATAAGAAATGACAAGATCTTAATTGACACTTGTCATGTTAATTATATTCCCATGTGTATATTATATACTTTAATACACCGGATCAATATCAACTTATTAAGAATGTCCTTGGAAATAAATAAAGAATCTATTACTATGAACGATTCGGTAGAAAAACCACAACATAATTCTCTACACAACTCTGCTCATATATAAATTTTATCGACTTTATCATTCTACTTTCGTCATCAATCAGGTCACCTACAAACAACGTCATTCAATTCAGAGCTTAACACTTGTAATTTCCAAGAACACAGTTATTGAAGTAGGCTTGGCGGTAGATTGAGTGAGAGAGAAACTGGCAATAACCCCAAAGTTAACATTTGAGGGTAGTGAGAGGAATACGAGGAGAGTTTTCCTGAATAAAGAGCAATTTGAGGCCAATAGAAACTAACTATCTACCAAACTACATTTTTCCAAAATTTCAACAAATACATTGGAGGGTTGGCCGAGTGGTCTAAGGCGGCAGACTTAAGATCTGTTGGACGGTTGTCCGCGCGAGTTCGAACCTCGCATCCTTCAAATTTTTTCCATCAGTATTTTTTTCGAAATGGTTTTTAATTTTTGCATCAAAAAAGTTTCAAAGATATATAAGAAGACAACATCTCATCATCAAGACAAGAGCCTATTTTAAGGCATCAGATCAAGGATTTTTAGTGCCAAAGCGGTTGATTGTGGTTGATATTGGGTATAACTTATATTTCCCTTGCAAATATTTTGGTGTTTGTTGAGATAGGCGTCGCAAGAGCAAGACTTTTGCAATAACTGCAGTTTGGGTAAGCGTTAGATCGACTTATCTTCTCTATTACTCAGCTAGAATTTATTATTGGTGTTATATTGGGTTTGGGTTATTTTCACTTGTTGCATTTTTAATATCTAGTGGAAAATAGGTTTCCTATTGGTAGTATTAAGGTTTTATATTTATTCATTTCGGTTTTTTATTTTTATTTTTGATTTGATCTGGCAAGATGTTTAAGAAGCACAAGAATCAGGACTTGGATATGTCCTTTCTTTGGAAAAAGAATCCGAAGACACCATCAGATTATGTCCGATATTCTTTGGAGCAGTTTGGGAAGATGACTACTGCTTCGACTAGTGACACGAGACGAAAACATCAAGAAGAATTGTTTAAATACTTAGTAGGAACTAGAGAATTGTTATTAGGTGATTCCGAACCTAAGCCAACGAATCAGATGAAATATGAAGTTCATGTAGCAATGAATAAACATGAATTTTTTTTATGAATTATTTGCTGAACTTCCAAGAAACTGAATTTAGAGGCAATGAAAGAAAGTTTGCTAAAATTTGCTATTTCACTTTTCGTTTTCAAAAGGACAACAAATTTGTCACTGTAGAATTATTTCGTTTTCAAACCTTAAAACAGTAATTTTTATGCTACGCTAAAGTGGAATTAGTTTTACAATCATCTTCAAGAAAAAAAAAATAGCCATGAGGTTTTCCAAATTGTTGGTAATATGATTTTGGAGTGTATCAAATATGAACAACTGTGTAGAATTATCTTAAAGGATCCTCAATTTTGGAAATTCTTCACTTTTGCGAGATTAGGAAACTTTGAAATAAGTACAGAGTCATTCCAAATTTTAAATGCATTATTTATAACTCATGAGAAATTAGTCTCAAAAGAATTTTTTTCACAAGAATCAAACATGTTAAGTTTCATACAGAATATAAATAAATTAATGGCCCATGGTAATTACGTAACCAAGAGACAGAGTACGAAATTAATCTCTTCATTGATTATAATACGATCGAACAATCAATTGATGAGTACATATATAAATTCTCCAGAGAATTTAAAATTAATAATGACCTTGATGACGGACAAATCCAAAAATCTTCAGATTGAAGCATTTAATGTGTTTAAAGTAGTCATTGCAAACCCTAGAAAATCAAAGCCTGTGCTGGACATTTTAGTTAAAAATAGAGACAAACTATTAAAATATTTCGAAACTTTTGGTACTGACATAAAAGATCCCATGTTTAGAGACGAACGTGAATTTATCATTAGAGAAATCGAATTATTACCAAGAATCATCTGCTCCAATGTTGAAAATACTAATAATGCAACAGCTGCAACCACTACTAGTGCTTAGAAAATAGGAAATCATCACTACACATTACAACGTCTAGATATAATTCATTCTGATTAAAAAATACACACATATATAAGGATATACATACGGTTTCTATACGATTTTTTTTTAATATTATAAAATTAGGGTGTTGGTCCTATACCAATTAATGCATTGTTATTATATAAATAGTTATTTTTCTATTCTGTTAAATCAAACTAAATAGACCAAACTATCTATTCATGTATCTTTAAAATAATCATTGAATACTTATCAATGAATCTTCTGGCTTATAAACCATATTGTAATTAAATCCAGATATCACACCATTTAAATCATTCCTCAAGACACGATCATCGACAATAACCTGAATCGACACACCATGGTACGATCCCCAAACAGGTCTAGCATTAACATTAGTATTTGGCATACCAGTGTTAGTCACTATTGCATCTTGACCTCTCTTGTCTCTACCACTTTCATCAAAACGTACTTTACAACCAATATTGCAAATAATACTGCCAGAGCCAGGTATTATATGGTAATCCATGGAAGTTAAATTATGCTGACTTTGAACTACTTGTTCCTGCCACATCTGTAGAAACATCATAGGTTGAGCAATTGGAGTTGCATTCATTATAATTTTACAATTCCCACTACCATTAAATAAAGTTAGAAAACCATTCAACGCTTGTGGATTATTCTCATCCAAATGAGCCAAAACTTTTTTGACAAAAGTCTGTAATATACTTGACTGATTACCACTTCCTTGATTCATATCCTAAGTCACACTCCAATCGCTATATTGCTCGTTGAACCTCTTAAACCTTTGGTTCTTGCAGTTAAGTTAATATGGTTTTAACAACTTTTTTTTTTCAGCTTGAAACTTTTTTATATACCAGTAAGATGAGATGAGATGAGATGAGTCTGATGTTGTTATAAAGAAGGATGATTATTCCAATTGAGGGTAGGAGATGATGAAGAGGATTAATGAAACTTGTGAGAATGTGTGTCGGTAGTCGGTATGTGTTCATATTTTTGATGGCGAGCAAAACAGCCTGAAAATGCTTACCGACAGCAAGGACCAGATAGGGAAACCTGGTGTATTTACTAGCACAATAGATGTAGGTAGATTTTGGATCCTAATATCGTAAGACTGATTTAAATTCCTTTTCTGTATAGAAGACAGAATCTTGAAAGTACTTATTCTTGGGATCCAGTATATTCTTCGCATTGAGATATTATGCCATACCAAGTTCTGGCAATTGCAATTGCGTCTGGTCACAGACTGGCAAGAATTCACAAAACTAACTCTAAACCTCCTGTACTCTAGCTGCCCAATTATCCTAGTCATTTCTTGTTCCCATCGAGGTATGCAATAGAAACGAATAATGATTCGATATGAACATCAGAGAACAGGAGCCGTATGTATAACCATGCAAAAAGGCAAAAAGTAATCATAGAAGAGAATAAAATCGAGGTATCTATAAGTATACGCACATTGCAGATTCATTTCATCGATCAAATCTCGCAATATGCCAATCACTTTACTTTATTCCATGCGGCTGATGCTGTATATACCCCAGATTTTTATATACTATTTATCATCATCTACATAAATATTATATACAAGCCAATAATCATCAAATTTGAACACAATAAAAGGGAGCAATTACACCATACAACATAGTATCGATGATTCCCACCAGCAGTGTCCTGACAAGTGATCTCTTCATCCCAATTCAAATAGAGTTTTAACTCTGGTTTGCTTCATTTAATAGTCAAGGGTCCATTAAAAACTGGAAAATATTGCACTAGGAGAGCTTTATAAATGACATTTTATTGGTAGATGGAAAGGAGAGTAAAAGAGATTAATTATAAAGAGACAAAAAATATAGCTAGAGTATCTGGTTTGACATATACTGCAAGAGTAGGTTGATATAAATCCTCAGTTTATATTCCGAGTTAGTCTGTCAGGAGGATATTCAGTTGGAAGTTTTTTAAAGGTCATTGAGAGAAAGATAAGTTACATACCATCTCATCTCTAGTTCAAGAAAGAAGTTTGTTAATTGGTGTTAGATAAGAGTTGTGAGTAATGAGAGATTATAAGGTATTTATTGGGAATTCTCATCCAGAATTGGGTAATTTAGTCTGCCAGAGGTTAGGTGTTGAACCTGCACCTTGCGTATTAAAGAAATTTGTTAATGGTGAAACATCCGTTCAGATAGGGGTCTCTGTACGTGACGAAGACGTCTATGTAATTCAATCTAGTTCGAACACTTTGAATGATCATATAATGGAGTTATTGATTATGGTTTCTGCTTTTAGTGGTGGGTCTGCTGGAAAAGTGACAGCTGTAATACCAATGTTCCCTTATTCAAAGCAAAGTAAAATGAAAAAACATAGAGGTGCCATTACTGCTAGAATGTTGGCAAACCTATTGATCATGGCTGGCGCTGACCACGTAATTTCAATGGACCTTCATTCATCTCAAATGCAGGGATTCTTCAGTAAACCTGTTGATAATCTTTATGGTGGTCCAAGTTTAGCAAGATGGATTAAGGAAAATGTGGAAGATTATGAAAATGCTGTCGTAGTTTCGAAGAATCCTGGTGGAACGAAAAGAGTTACTGCTTTAGCTGACAGCTTGAAGATAAATTTTGCGATGATTCATACTGATCGTAGACGTTCAAAAGATCTATACTCACAGAATAGAGATGTTGAACAATTACGATTAAGAAAACAGTCCATGCTGAGAAAAAACAGACCGATTGTGAAGCTAGGAGACTCTCCATTCGAAGAAGAGAATATAATATTGTCTAATGGTATTCAAACTGCTAGAATCCGTAATGGCCATGTTATTAGTGATGATGAAATTGATACCACTGACTTTACTGGAGAGGAAGGATTTTTGACTGACAGTCTCATATTATCTTCTAATCACAATGAACAGTATGGCCTATGTCAGAATTATGAAGGAACCGATGATGAAGAAGAAGAGGAAGAAGGCAAACCCGATCTTACTCATGGAGAAAAATTGATAACTTTAGTTGGTAGTGTCGAGAATAGTTCAGCAATTATACTAGACGATATGATAGACAGACCAACCTCATTTGTAAGTGCTGCAGAACATTTGGTTCAAAATTGTGGGGCTAAAAAAGTTTACGTCATTGCTACGCATGGTGTATTCATTGGTGACTGTTTACAACAACTAGAACAGTCTGAAGCTATTCATAAAATTGTAGTTACAAATAGTTATCCAATCCCAAAGGAGCATATAGAAATGTCAACCAAACTGGAAGTCATAGACGTCTCTGCTATTTTTGCTGAATGTATTCGCCGTGACCACAACGGTGAGAGTATATCAGTACTATTCGACTCATTGGCTGTTTCGTAAGGACTCTTAAACAATTTATGGAAGAGATGGACCATTTAGAATATATTCACCCTAGGACCCCTGGCTATTTAACTATGTACATAAATAAGATTACTTATTGTTGAAATGAATGTGTCTTACTATATAACAATACATTATATACTATTGAATATAATGCCTAACAAAATAACTAATAAACATTTTTATATTCCCACAAACCTGAATCTATTCACCTGTAATTAATGACCACCTAATTACTATTCATTATTTAATTTTCATTGAAAGTTTTCTATAAGGGACCTGAAAAGATATAATAAAACTATGCATTATTTAACCCAACCCGTTTGCTGCAGTAGCCCATTTTTTAGTCTCAGTCCAACCAGAATTAATTACTTGAATCGCATCTTCTAGATTTAACGGATCTTTCAAAGGTTTATCATCTATAACTAATTTTTTGTAAACACGAGGGTAGTAATCAGCAGGGATTTTTTCAAAAGTTTGTTTCCTTTTTTCAGAGCCTGAAATGTCATTGTTCGTTTCATTGATTTCAGTCCAAAGCTCTCTTCTTCTTTTCCAAATGATATCAGCACTACAGAACGGCTCTCCAAGTTCGTGTCGCAGTTCTTTGCATTTTTCTGTAGCATTGTAATTCGAAAAAGTTTCGATATTTGAATCACTATCATCTTCATCACTAGAAGAGTCAGAACATTCAAAAGATTCAGTTTCATCAGTCAATCTCATTTCAACAGCGGCACCTAGATTTGGTGGCATCGAATTAGAAGCGTAACTGGTTCCCTCGGAGTTAGGATCCGAAGTAGAGACACTTGAATCATCTGCTTGAAACAGTGCTTCTACCTTATCATCATTCATAGATCCATTATCGAGAGAATTCAAAGTTTCTTGGGTAATCTTTTTAAATGTCGATCTCCATCTACTAAAAGTTTGAGAAATGGATGACTTAACACCTTTGCCATGGAAAATACTTATTGATTTTTTATTTTTTAGTTCAGCTTTTGCCATGATTTATAATAATGCTATATTTATATGATAATGCTTTCTTAAAGTTTGATGAAGTTATTTTCTTGCTTCTTTTTTGTTTTTTTTTGTTTGCTAAATGAAAGTTTGTGAACAGATTTAAAATCTAAGTTTGGGATGCGATGGAATAAGTTTTATTAAAACAAATAGTATTCGATAGTTGAGAAACAGAGGCCAACAAAATGATTTATATTTGTTTATATATCTTCTGTGATCT